AGGTAAGGCTGTATCGGGTGTGGGGAAAGGTCGGTACTCTACACGCACCATCAGTTCACCCAGATCGAGGATGCAGTACCCTGGCATCCGAATGCCACTATGCACAAGGTCAATGAGGGGCGAGGTCCCTCTCTGCGCAGATTGTGACTGAGACTTATTGTTTTTATGGTTCGCGCGGCATCCTTGAGCTGATCCAGATCCAGCATCCCTGGCCATTGCTCTTGAGGTTCTGCATGCGCGCTTATCTGCTGTGAATATTTTGTCTACGACAGATTCCTTCCCACCAGGAAGCTGTGAAAACATTTCTCGAATACGCGCCCGCTTGGCGGGTTAACTGCTCAGCAGGGACAATGGGCGACTAAGTCGCTCCCTTGCCTTGTAATAGCCGTTAAGGAATCTGCTGTTTGCGGGACCTTTCGCGTTATCTGAATGGACCGAGGGGAGATAAATGTAGAAGACTACAAACCCTGCGGCCTTACTCATTGATCGATCCTTCTTGTCGTAATCTATTGTTGGAATGGAAGAGGGTTTCGCCCAACGAGTAAGACTCAGTGACTAATGAGTGCCGCCCACGCCGTTACCGCAAAGAAGGTGCCTTTTTCAAGGAGAACTGACATTCCCGATAAAATTGTAAAGCCGGTAGCAAGCGGTCCGTTATGCCATAACGCTATTTTCTTGAAGTCATTTCTCATAGCTGTTTTGCTGAGGGCCCAAGGGTTGTTGAACGACGCCACAATGAAGGCCCTGGGCCATCTCACGCCTCAGGGGTTCAAAACTAAGTTGGGGGAAGCCAGGAAGCTTCCAAGGCTCCCGACTACTTGAAGCGCAATCTCTTCAATACATTGCGCCAGCCTTTCTTTTTTCCCTCTGCTTTCTCTCCTTTGAGAGTTCGGTATTCTACCAAACCCCAACTTATTCAACGTATGAATGAGTGACTCAGCCCCACTCCGTGGGTTCCCTCCTCGCCCGGCGCACGTATCAAAGAGTCCCATCCCCTGGCCTCGCCACATGTTTTCTGCACCTTTCGATGCTTTGGCAGCAGCTGCCTCAGTTCATCTGTCTGCATACAGGATTTCGCGATAGAATCATGCTTGAAAGTTCAAGTAGTCACGGAATCTCCCAAGTTGCTTCGCTTGTCTGCCACCCTGCCTCACCGAAATAGATGTCGCAGAAAAGGCTTTTTGAGGTGACTCTTGTGCAACAGTCATGCAACGACATCAATTTTGAATAGGAATCTGTAATGAGGCTGTGTTGGAAATACGTGTAGCCAGCATAGTAGACGCCTTCAGCAAGACGAAGGACATGCACAATATGACTGCCAACCAAGTGTTCGCCTGTCCACGTAAAACCCTCTCGCCACTGGGAGGGGGAGATTGATGGACTTTGCGGACCGGTCGTTCTGAAGGAGGGACAAGAATCGATTTATAGACATACGAATGGTATCCAACGAGAATAGTTCCGACTAATAAACCTAAGGACTACTGGCAAACTGAGTGATTCAGCGCAGAGTTTAATAGTAATCCTAGAATCACTGCAGTTGGCGATGAATATAAAGTTCCTTGGGGATAAACTACTCGCTGAGAGAAACTACTAGGTATTTTAGGGTGCTTTCTAAGGCCTGGTCCTGTCGTCTCTCGGCTATTCCGTCTGATTCGCAATCGAGCCTTCGCAGTAGTTCAGGATCAATAGCTGGACTCAGTGGAACAAATAAAAGTGCAATAAAAAGAGCATTCGGATCGGCGGCACTTGGGAGTAAAACATGAAGAATCCGAATAATATCTGTCCGTACGCACATGCGATCGACCATTGATAATTCCGTCTGATCCAAATTTGCATGTGCGCTTTTCTAAGCTTTTTGGAAAGCGGGCCTTATCCTGAGGTCCTAGTTCTCGGCGCTGAAGAACGTAAGAAGATCTTGAAAAGCTGACGGCCGACTCTTACGAGCCCGCTTCGGCGTATCCCTGTCGCCCTCTGTTGAAGTTGCCCTACATCCCAGTATTATCCGTCCCGACTATTTGAAGAAGCACTCTTTGTTGCAGGGACGTATTCAAAGGGCGATAAAGAATGTGCTCCACGAAAGCCTTTCTCGATTAGACGAGTTCTATCAATTACTGGGGGTAAATATTGTGCGCTTCGAAGCCGACGCTGTGACGAGACGGCAGTCGTCCGCATTCACCTTTCGTTCAAGTACCATGACTTTACCGTAACTCGTGCAGAACGGGATCGATTCGTGGAAAAGCAAAACACGACTGCGGTTAGGTTATAAGCTGCACCCTTACTGTGCACGAGAATGGCGATGATATTCAGAGATACTGTTGGAAGAAAAAAAAAACTGCTGCCTAGAGACGGGTGTGAGCTTGGGCTGGGACAGTGGGGAACTCTGCCAAAACAGAAACATAAACCCACTAGGACAAGTTTTGAACCCAAGGTGGAGCTGGTGTACGTGTGGACGAGTTGCCACGAGCGCAGTTCCAGAGTAAAGCCGTGGCCGGCTTCCACCCAGAAAATCAAGCCTTTCTTCCTGGGGCCTGCAAATTGATACAGGGTTGGGGAGGATAAAGGTCTTGACTTTTACAGACGCGCTCTGGTGTAGAGTGATCCGGCAAAAGCTCTTCTAATTCCTTGTCCTCCCAGACGAGTGAGGCACGTCAAGGTGGGAGGTGCCTGCACACGTTGGTGCTATTGGAATTCTAGAGCTGTTCCTTACTGACTCCTTGCCGTCTGCTCTATTCCTCCCAAGAGAATCATTTACGATCTATTTCATACTTTCTAATGCCTCCACGGCACATGAACATGTGACGCGGTTGGTGACAAAGGGTGCCGTTTCCTTCGCGCTGGGTTGGGGGCATCGGATCAACTCCAGGCTGTGCCGACCAAGCCTTTCATTCCTCTATAGTCAGCCAATTGGTACTAGATTTTTGCAGGAGGATGAAAGCAGTGACATGTTCATTAGTTGTACCCCGAGTATGCGACAAGACAATCGTCATATGTCGCGCTGGTGGGCGTGGCGAGCGATGCCGCGCCTGACGGACGAGCTGTCATGCCTGGCCATTTGAGGTTGAGCGTTGAAAGGACGATGATATTCGATATCTCGTCACTCCACTTGAGTTCATATGAGGTTCACAGCTCCAATGGGCAAACTGATGCAGACCATATAACATCGTCGTGAGCGGCGTGTCGCACCGCCGCACGCGACGAATGCGACAAATGTCTTGTCCATCTTCTTGGGAGGGCAGCGTCATAGAACAGGCTCGTGATTCTGGTCACATGACCTCGTAGATCGAAGACGCATGAATCAGAAGGTCAGCTCGGGGGGGGGGAGTTGTTGATGACGTGGCAGACATTTAAATGTCTTGTCAGGAGCACTTTGTGTAGAATGATTTGTGTGTTTAAGATTGGGCGAGGACCTGTGGACTAGTAGCTTGCAGAAATCATCGCATTTAAGAGCAATCAATCTTACTTTGAGTACAACACCCGACAAACACAGCCTTTAATCCACGGACAATAGCACGTGCTTGTCTGCGGTGATTTTGAACGATATAAAAACAAAACGGAGTAGAAAATGTTGGGGTTTTTGAGGCAGCTGGCCCACGCAATCAACCGGCCTCGCCCGGCTTTTTTTCTTATTCATAACTCTCGTTCTTACAACCACGATACAACACTTGACGTGAGTCCTTCCAATCCACATCTATCCTGCAATCTTTATTTGCTTCGGATGTAGCCCACTCTCCACAAGTCTGTTAAGGAGGGGGGGGGTGCCTTCCAAGACCCATTGAGTCGCTTTCTCGACTCATTCATTTCATGTGTTAAGGAAATATAGGTTATCAGAAGTGTATGTCCGACTTTTTCCCTAGCTCTTCTGAGAATAGCTCTGAACAATTTTGTTCTCCCGGGGATCTGAACCATGAACAATAGGTTCATGGTTTTCAGATCCCCGGGAGACAGAATTTTGCCAGTGCACCACATTTTGCTAAAAAAATATTAGGTGTTTTCCGCCAAGCGCAGTTCGCCCGTGAACTCGCGGAATGGGCCTCACAGGGGAGGGGCGATATTGAGAGAATAGTCCAAATTCAGCTTCTTTATTGCTCGCTGTGCCACAATCTTCTTCGTTACAGAACTCGCCTGATTTTCTTACCATAGATTTCTCCCAGGATGAATGGAGGAGTTAGATGTTGACCTCGTTGCTTATTCGCCCCTACCTCTCTCCATTAACCACATTTGAAAACTGATTTTTCCCTTTTTTCCCATACCTCGAGGCAAAACCGGGGCCACACGCTCCCTCAACACAACAAAATCCTGGAAATTTGAGTTTGTTCTTTGTTTATTGTTCAGCTCAGGGAACTCGATCTCCTGGTACGGCTAAGTAGCACTTCTGAAGTGAATGCGAACATTGAGGACGGAAAGCTTCATTGGCACTGGACGTGGTCAGTCTACAGGCCCGATACGCCTTGCTGCCGCTAAGGCAGAATCTGCTACCAGTTTTGTCTTAGCCCTGGAGGGCTGGCAGTCTTAGTTGGCCTGTGCGGCGAAGCTTCATTTGGGTTGGACCGCTGCCACCGCGCGGTGCACATGATCACGTTACCTCTCCACTGCCGAGAGGAGATATCCATTACACATTTTTTACTTGTCCCCCCTCTCCTCCCCAGTGGAATGTTGAAATCCACGCTTAAGTGGGCTCAAGTCACAACGCACAAATTTGAAGCTCTGTCAACATGCAACTGTTATTTGTGACATGTGCATCAACCAGAGCATTGCTGCATTTGATCTTCATATCGTTGAATTCTCTCGTTCGAATGACCCCTATACCAATAAAATGCCACTTTTCAGAGAGTTTTCTCGGTGTACTTAGGCGATCGAGCAGCCGAGAAGCGCCCCAGTTGCAATCCAAACATCCCCGCACCGTCGTCGTCGTCGTCTCCGCCCATTTCGCGAAGATATTGGATAAATAGTCAGCGATCGGCCAACTGAGCTTCACCAAAGCCGCACGTACAGTTTCACCCATGGAGCAACAACTTTATCATCGTCCAAGACCAGGAGGCATGGCTGGTAAGTCTTAGAGTATTTATTCAGCCTTTTTTGGCAATGATCCTTTTGCTTCTTGTGAGCTTCTCTTCTTTATGAAATATGGTACTGTAGATTTGATTACTGAACCTACCCCCTTCTGGGCTCTGAGGGCTCTTTTGCCCCATTGTGCTTTCTTACTTTTGAAATCGTCGAGTCATCAATGCACTTCTGTCGTTTCACTGAAGAAACATATGGACTGCGACATTTTAGTGTTTGAATCACCTTCTGACATCTCTTTAAAGCCTCAGCTTTCTTTCATTGAATGACTTGTCATTCCTCCATCAAACAATGGAACAGGCCACACGTGCACCTCCTGCTGGGATCACAAGTAAATGCTCAGCTCTTACGATTACTGTAGATTCCCGAATTTTCAATTTTCATTGAGGTTTTGGGCACTGTTCGGCTCGGGAGGGGCGTTTTGCACTTCCGCTAGTTCCTTTTGCTAGTTCATGATAACGGCTGTCATTTCGCGTAAAGGTGCCAAATGTACTTGCTACTTTGGTTGCACGATTTAACAGTTCTCCACAAGGCGGCCTGTACAGGCTTCACTGAGTACGATTTGATGCCCCCACCAAGCCGAACTCTACCCTAAATTTGTCTTTCACTACCTTGAAATGATTGGATGTTCAGGAAAGATCCTCGACAAACAAGCCAGCAAATTCAACAATGAGGAGGCTGAAAACCTGATGGAATGGGTCAAGGTAAAGTTTATGTGTGATTTTCTTGGAGCTGCTGGCCTTGGGAGGGGCATTTAAAAGATTCATTTTCCAAAATCAGAACTACCATAATGGATATGAGGACCTTCGTCTCAGCTCAAAGGATACAGGAACTTCCTAGATGGATGAACCAATCCTAAGTACGGAAATTCGGTCCGGGAGACGCCACACAAGGAGTCTCTTGGATGGCCCCTCCAAGATCATTAGCTCCGACTTTTTTTCCATTATCTTGTTTACTTGTTGCATTTTCCTTTTCCCAAAAAAATAAGTAAATATAGCGAAAAACCATGAAAAGAATGGGAAAGGACTCGATAGTGAATGTTCTTCGGACCGAATCACTTGAGTTGAGGGCGATTTCGTATTAGAAGTGTAAAAATTCGGAAAAAACCCCTTTGAGGTGGTGGAATGGCCCTCCCACCCCATCACATCAACGGTTTTTTTGGTTTCTACTCTTGTTACGGGCACTATTTAGGGACCAACCCTAAAGGCCAACAAATCCTTCATTTCGGGGCAATTAATTGGTGTCGAATATTGTTTGGGAAATAGAATTGCGGAGCTTGGTACGTCAGTCTGCCTCTCCGCTCGCAATCTTGCTCCCTCGCCACCCACCTCCCCCCTCGACCCTTGAAGTGACAAGTGTGAGTCTAGGGGCTAATATTGCATTCAAGTCATCGATTGGGAGTAAAGCGTGGCTTAATGCCAAGAAAGGGTGATCAGCGCCAAGAGAATGGCCGGTCATGCCCTTGCATTATAGCTTACAGCCACCCCGTTTGCATCCCGTTGTCCTTTTCCTTTGAAGGGAACGAGTAGAAGGCTGAACTGGCGCGAGATATAGTTGAGTTGTGGATATCTCATGGATCGGACCTGCCCAGACCACCTCAATCACTCATCAATATCGGATCGATTAAGCAAACTTGATAGAGGAGTTGCTGATTTCCGAGGGAGAAAACAATCAAGTTTGTCTTTACCTGGCCTCTCCGGCTCCGTCTCTCACTGAAATCTCATGGGATTTGGCGCATAAGCCAGTAGCTAGGGGAGAGCTGGAAAGGGTTTAGAAAGGGTCCCCAAGGCGCGATTGCAAGACTGTTTTGAGACAAACCACTCCTACATAAATACCTCAGTAAAAGATTCTGAAACCCACTCCGAAACACTTTGCATCTAGAGACGATCATCCTCATCAATCTGGCTTGATGGCCCACTTGGGACAATGCACCATTCTTATCTCAATTCTTCCAGATTAATCCTGTCTTTTCCGGTAATTAATGGGAACGAAATTTGAGCAGATTGTGTATTAATTGTTATTAAGTCGAATAGGACAAGAGGGGGGTCGCCCCACTGTGCTCTTGCCTTGCCTCCGTGAAGTATTGTGCAACGAGATCTAGATGGGAGGTAGTCTGAAGAGGAGGAGGGTAGAGGGGCGAAGGCGGGCTTTATTCTGCGTTACTAAAGGGAACCCCAACAGGTAAAACAAGCCGGGCTCATTTGCAATGAGATTAGTAGGTATCACTGGACCGTACCTCCTTCGAGCTCGCTGAAACCTCCAAATCTTACTCTGCGCGTTTTTTGCGGAATCGATCTCCTCATGAATCGGAGTTACGACACATCAAATGCTTTGCTCCGTTGTAAATAAGTGAGAGGTGGAATTGCTCACGCAGCGCCGATGGCCTAGTGGATAAGTGCACTGATTCAGGAACACGATGTCGCATGTTGGAATCCTTGACACTCCGAACATTTTTGCTTTTGTTCAGAACATTCCATACGAGTCCCCAGAACACTTCTGTTTGGCCAGTTGACCTTGAATCTCTGATTATTTGACAATAGAAGCGATCATTGCTCCATCTGTTACACCTTCTGAAAACTTGAATGAGAACTCCAATGAGAATGACCGTTTCTAGAGCTCGCATCGAGGAATGGAGAAGGTCGCCACTACTACTAGGGAAGGTCGTCAGGTCCAAGTGGCCATTCGTAATGAAATATAGTTCACTAGACGTGGTTTTGGACGCTGATCTCGAATCTGCCTTCGAAATTTGCAGAACGATTCTCTGAACGGAGTTGCATTTAAATTCTGTGGGGAATGTCTCTTTTAAGTCTAGAATGCATTCAAACGTCAAATGGGTGCCATATTCGTGTTCAGGGAGCAAAATTACCCTTGGGGACAGGTTTCTAGCCAGATATGAGGTCTTGACCTATCTTCAAAAGTCCGGTAGCAGTTGATCCGATGGTGGTCACCACTAGTTCCAGGGCCAGTCTCTTGTCGATTGCCTGTCTTTGGCCGGAATTTTCTTCTATATACCAGGAAAACTGGAGCAGTAACAAAATGAATGCGTAAGAAGGTGCAAGACAAGGCGTTGTGCAGGCAAATGTATCTGCAGCTGAATAGGTGTGAAAATCAGCTGAACCAACCCATGGATGGTTCAATTATGGAAATCAGGTCAAAATGCCAGATTTGGCTAGCAACTTGTGTATAAAGGTATTTTGACCCGCTGAAGACGAATATGGCACTCGCTGAGCGTTTCGCAAATACAGCCTGTATCGCGCACGGACGGGCCGTACCTGTGCACCCCAATGATTATTTTTCCTGGCCACTAGCAAGCTGCTTCTACAAGGTGCCTGAAGGCGCATTTCACAATAACAATGGACGCAAAGTTTACTTGCAGGCAAGATTAGGTTTGAGTGCACTAGGAAGTAGGAAGTGAAAGCAAAGCCACAATTTGGCCACGTTTGTCGCAGTCGAAGCAAAAAGTGAGGGCGGCAGCGAGGGAGCGAGTCGCGGCGGGACGACCATGCGTGGTTAAATGCGTGGAAAAAGCCCCATAACTCCGTTCAGAGAATCGTTCCGCAAAAACGGAGGGTAGATTTGGATTCAGCGGCTCAAGACACGTCCACATGTGTACATCTCATTGCAAACGGCCGGGTCGACCTGTTGGGGTTCCCTTGTTAGTTTGGCAATGGCTTGTCCTTCAGCACGGTATACTAAGAACTCAGAATGCGCTTAGGGGCATACCTACTTTCAACTCTTTCACCTTACCTTACTTCCCTTCTAGTTCTCATAAGTTCTGAGGAGATCAGGCTGATATTTATCTTTCGCTCGATCACGGCATTGCAAGACGTATAGAATCTGTAACTACCGCGATCTCCTCCCCCCCCTCCAACGGACTTACGGGGGAAAGACCTACGATATCCCAATCAGTAAAAACTTTTCCTCAGCGCTGACCAGCCAACCGCGGAGCGCTTAAAGGAACGAGCAAAGAACAATAACAAAAATTGTTTGGTTGGTCCCAAATGCGATCTCCTAGCGACCTGTCTTGCGTATGATTCTTCACACCTTGGGCTTTGCTGTGTGATTTGCTGGTCTGCAGCCGAGATGGCAGGTTCCATGGCTCTCGGATGTCCCCAGAATTCGGCTCGGCAACACCACCTTATTACTGCCTAAATCAGCCCTTTTCTATATTCCAGCCAGCTGTTTATAAACTGGTCTCATTGGTGTTTGACAGCCGACCAGGGCCCCAATATAGCCAGGAAACGACAGTGTTTCCTGAGTGGTCGTTCCACCCGATACGAAGAATATGGACTGTCATGCAAGCGACTATGTTAACCCTGAGCGTGGGTGATGGGTAAGCAAACTGAGCACATCCGCTGTAATGAAGTTTCTGAACCAAGACTCTATATTGGAGCGCTCTTCTCTCTCTTCCTCCCCCGATGAAATTCCCTTTCCCGTACCGGTCCCTCTTAAATTTTCCCGTCTTCCTGCCAGTTTTCCCGGAGTTCTTTTTCCAAAAAATTTCCTCCACTCTCCTCTTCCCAGAGAAACTGCGTCGTCTGGGAGAAGGGATGGGAGCGCATCTGAAACAGCGGAAAAGCGGGAAACGGAAGAACACAAAGAACTTAGATCCCCTGTCCCACACAGCGCATCAAATAAATAAAATCTCCGCGGGAATTCAGATCGTACCACCGCGCCCTGTCCCGCAATACAGCGTTGCGTCGACTCCGCGTCCTTTGAATCCCCCACTCCTACCAGCAGCGCTTAATATAATTTATCCGTCAAAACTGCCCCCTATTCTCAAGCAGACACAAGCTATGCAAGCTGTATCGTTGGATCAACGCAGCTTGTTGTGAGGGATTTGAAGCATGTAAAGTGGAGGTTCTCAGTTGATCTCCTGAGGTCAGAGCCCTATTTTTGAGCCATTATGGGGTATGAAACGGGGAGGCACGTGTGCACTTCCACTGCTTCACAATTCCGTTCAACAGTTCTCAAAGTCTGGCAAAACCTGTGAGCTCTTGTGAAGAAGCTCCTGTGTGTGCAAAACTGCTAAAAGTGCCCACCCCCCCCGTCCCTCTCCCGCCGAACAAGCGCGCCCCATTGGAAGGGTCATTAGGTACATTGCGGGTTCTTATAATCGCTCTGATGGTCACCGTTTGAATGGCGTGGATTGCTTTAAAACTGCCACAAAGTGAGGACTGGCGTGTTGTAATGTGTACAGTTTTCGATCCTAAACTAATTTGCTCGTTCTGCTGACAATAAGTAACATCTGGCGGCACCAGTCGCGACCATCCTTTGGGGTTATGGCCACAGCGATACGTTCTCATAAATACAATTCGGAAGCACGTGTCATCTAGGTACACTGCACGTTTTCTGGGAGGTGGACAGGTTCACAGCCATCACTCTTGGGCTGTGCCATGCACCTTATTTCATTCAGATTCTTAGCGTTTTTTCCGGGAACCGGATTTAGACACATAAGTGACACTGTTGTGCAAAGGATCCCTTACATATAGATATGGTCGCTCAGACAGCAGAAGGAAATTATTACTGCGAAGACGTTGGCCCTGACGGCTTTATTTCATGAATATTTTAGGGATTGATCGGTGAAGATTTCGACACCTCCGGCAGTCGAGACAATTTCCGCGAACAGTTGCGCGATGGACAAAGGCTCTGCAAGTGAGTTACCGTTTCTCCCACTTCCAACTTCACGTGATTACATCAAAACATTTCTGAGCGGTTCGGCGTCGGGGGGGGCATTCTGCTTTCCATCGAAGTGTTCATTGCTTTACCAGAATTGACAGGTATTCTTAACCAGAGTTGACGAGCGGTTTCTACTAACTTCGAATGGTATCACGCCACTACCTTGATAGCTCGAACACGGCAAGGAAGTCCGTAATGTCTAAAATCCCCTCGACTCGCCTCTGGCGCAACGACACTCGACGCCAGAAATCTTATATTCGACACAAAACTGAATTATGACAGACTAAAAAACGCATAATCATAGCCGATGATGTTGTTCCAGTCTATATTTGGGTGGGAAGGGTATAACGCTAATGGACTGTGCTCAAGCTCGAATGCCCTGAATTAGCACTTGTTTTTTACGGACCCACCTGTATAACATCTTTAAAAGGGATTACAATGCCCTTGAACATACCACCTGGGCCGATCACCCTCAAGATGATCCTTTCCGTGTACAAGGAATCCAGGTCCCCCTTCCACCGCCCTCAGTAATGCATTAGAAATCAACGTGGAAAGTCGCGGAAATGTTCTTTTTATGTGTACGCCCAACCACAACACCCTGTATTACAGGCAATGCGTCGCTGGACCGAATACCTAGCGTGGCCAAAGAAGTTCGCACACTCTCCTCTCTTCGTTGACAGGAGCAACAGTTGCTCGTCCACGCTTTGAGTCTTCTGGGCCAAGGGGGGTCGCCCAGTTCGACTCGGTGACGTTTGTTTGTTTGTCCCTGTCCCGATGTTATGAAGAATATAAGGGCACGAATATTTGGTACTCGGACTAATAGTGTTAGTAAAGGAGTGCTACATGTGGAAAAGGGCCAAAAAAGCGAGTGTAGCGGCGAACCAAAAAAGCTACAAAAAAAGCTCTTTTGTCTCGCGGACTGAGGAGCGCAATTTCGGACGAGTTTCCCGGTGGCATCGTGCCAGTAACCGCTACGCTAGATACGGCAGCATGTACGTACTCTTATATCCATGCAGCACTGCAGTCGCTTCATATCAAACCCTTTGCTTTCATAATATTGTTCGCAAATGAAGCGAAGACCAGAATCGGTCGGACATTTCCCAAGGCGCGGATACGATGGCCCGTTCTGATTGGCGTCCGTCAGCTTTCTAAGACGCTTGTAAGCGGTACGTTTCTGGAAAGGCGTCAGCCGTACTCAACAATCTGCGGAACTTTGTTCCACCTCGAAAATAGAGGGGGGAGGGAGAATCAAGAAACTACCTCTCTGTGTGAGCAAGCCTGAGCTGCGGTAGAAGTTTCCAAATTTGCTCCAGAAAAACCATGCTCTCGAAAGGAAACCTTAGTAACCTCCATAGATGGTTGCTTCCATATGCGAGGTTAATGGGTCGGCCCTGCAAAAGCATGCCCCTTTCTTGGCTGAAAGAGCAGGGGACTTAGGAAAGGTAAGAACTACGCACGTATTCTCAACGTTGCACGCATTGATCAGTCACATAACAAGGCCTTGAGCGGTGCTGAAAACAACCTAGAAAATGAGAGAGCGCAGACAAGCAGCACGTTCGGCTACGGTTAGGCGTGTGTCTGGTGGTGAGGCAGCGTGGGCGGAACATATGGAGAGGTTTTTCGCTCGCTTCACTCATCTCAGGGGCATCTTATTTGTTTCATGACAAGAAAAATTAACTCGCATTGACTTACTATAGGGGTGAAAAAGCGACTACCTCCAGATTAGTGAACGCTAATCGAAGCCTGCCACCAATTTGAAATAAACCGTGAAAAAGATCATGAAGCCGATATCTAATTTCAATTGTCTGGAGAATTTGAATCAATTCACATCGGCCTGCAGAAAATTTGGTGTGAAAGATGAGGAGGTTTGTAATTTTGGGATTTTTTTAATGCTATCCGCGCATCATTGCAATGTCATTGTCACATGATGTAACCTGTGCGGACAACCCTGACCGCCTTTTAAGAACATTTCCAATGCGGTGACCTGATCGATGGCACGGTACCTACTTCTCGAAAGTAATACGCACCCCCGAGAAATACTTCTTTGGCACTGCAAAGTCTCGCCTGCAGGTATGCCTATTTTTGCTTTGAGAGCACGTTTCTCGTTGATTATGGCGGAGATGCGACCAATCTCATATATCCGTCTTACTCGTTGAGGCGACCTCTCTTCTGAGATGTGTAGTTAGGGTAGGCACAGTCCATAAGTTTCTCCGCCCATGCCAGCACCATGAAGTGCGTTTTCAAAAGAAATTTCTCAAGGCTAAAACCGCTGTTGGGTGAAAAGTGTGGAGCATTACCCCTAGTACAAGTTGACTTAGGCGACTTAGGAGATTTAGTCGAGGAGCAGACCACGTTGGGTGGGTTGAGTCTTGATGCAGTTCTGCGCACATAGTCTACCTGCAACACCTATTCCGCTGTCATTGGGAAGTAACGTTACGTACCGGTAAGGTGCGGCGCTCCAATGCCCATTCCGGGAAGGCTACTGATGTCAGCTTGGACCATAGTCACCTTAGTACTAAGAATTCCCTGGAACAGCTTCTCCTAGTGCTGCTTCCTTCAACACAGAACTTCCGCTTTACACCTCTTCCTTCCTTGACCCTACAAGTTCCAGGAGTGAATAAAATGAAAAATCTTTTTTCTCCTAGATAATTTCTTAGAAGGTAAGCTGATCTCTTTTTTGGACTTAATTCGACTGCGACCCCACCCTTAAAGCTTTAAGTCATACCTTTAGATGGAAATGAAAAAACAATCTCTCGATATCCCCATTCGAGTTTCTAAATGGACTATAATTCCAGAAATGGTTGATACCTGGGGCGAATGGAGCCTGCATTGCTCTCCCACTCACTATCCAACAACTATTCAACTATGCATTCAGCCTTGAACTCCTTGATTTTCTATAATTTTAGGTCGAAAAATCACACAACATCACTCCACCGAAACAAGTCTCAAAGGACACCGCCCTTTATCTGAACGCCTAAAGAAAAGCCCCAGTTCGTCTGGGTCATATAAAACCAAATTCATGGGGAACTTTCTCTTGCGATTCCTTCCTGAAAGAATATTTCCACTTTTTTTTTGTATTCGCTAGATTATTGGTGATGATTTTTATAATTGGGTTACTTAATCGTGATTATTTCATCTAATAATTATTCATTTATTATGCTGCTATTCAAATAAATGGTTCACTATCGTTTTCTTCTTGCTGCTAGATTTCTAGGGGGCGTGTGATAGAATTTCTGTGTGATACACCGATCTAATTCGGTACGCCTATGGTTTTTATGTTCCATCGTCAACAGTAACAGAGGCAGTGGTGCCATGGTACAGAGACAACCCAAGATAAAGGGCTTAAAATAAAGGACGAATTCAGGGTCACATTAGCATTGGTGCTAGCGTTTCAGAGCGGCACAAGGTGTTAAAGGGGAAGTATGGAACACAACAGGGGGGGTCGTATTAGCAGCGGAGGTTCCGTTAGCCAAAGTCAGCATGAAGTCCGGTACAAAAACAAAAACTGAACAAAGCGACGCTTCCGTGAAAAAATGGCAATGTGTAGAGCGCCCAATAAGAAAGTATAAAGGACGAGGGCTAATTCAAGTCTCGCGTTCTACGACCTATAAAGCATCCACGAGATCACCACTTTTCAGGGTGGTAGCAAAGATTCCGTAGTTCGCCACAGTGAACGTCCGCGTGTCGAACATGCACCGCTAATGAACATGATTTTGGGTGGTATTGGTCGAAAATAGGCAGTGTATGAATAAAATACACAATCGTGTCTACCATGTCCTGTCTAGGTGAAACCCGATGTTCCAATCGGAAGGGTAGTGGGAAATTAAGGAAACGCCGCGCGCATTTTCGCGCGCGACGAAGCGGCAGTTTACAATTCTCTTGCCCGTCTCCCCACTTTTCCGACGTGTCATGGGAAATATCTTGTTCGCTGTGGGTGAGCGTTACATACGGGCCTCGACGGGGGGAGGGAACGGGGAAAAATAGGTTTAGCGCAAGCGCTAACGTCGTTCTTTTTCTTTACATTTTGGTTTCTTTCTACAAAGGAGACAGACTACATTATATTCGTTGGCAAGTCGAGCGATTTTCCACCAGTAGTCCCGCCTGTTACCTGTCTTAAAGGCACTTTCGCGAATTAAAAACTAAGGCTAATACCTGCCCAATGCGTCAGATGGATTCCGGAGGCGCTTGTCGAGGCTTGCGCTACTCCTAAAAGTGGAAATCAACAAGAGCTCCGCTGAAAGCAGACTAATTAGGCCCATGGGCACCTTTTAGAGCCATGCCGACCCCCACTGGCTACTAGCTACTAGCTAGTAACCACTTTGCTAACTCTCTCCATTCCGAATGATGAGAGTTTGAGTGATAAGATAAAAGAGCTTATATCGTCATGATAACGACGAGTGGGAAAATTCGTACAAACCTTGCCTCTTCTTACATTGCATGCAGTCAAAGGTTTCGGTGGCACGAAGTTCCGTCAACGGACTTCCGGACTGTTTTTTTTTTCCTTCTTCCTTTTCTCCACCTGATCAAAACTTGGTATATTTCGCTCACATTTTTTAAGCTCGTTACCCCACAATATTTTGGTCGCGGGTTTTGCCTTTGCACCACGTTGATAGATTGTATTATTGATGTCCCGCGGCCTGCAGCTCGTGTTTGGCCTTCACCCGAAAACAAACATTCAAATTCTTTCGTCTCTTGCTTACCCAAAAAAAATTTTTTAAAAGGGTCTTATTCATCAGAGCGCGTTTGCGACGGTCCCTCTCCATTTCCCTTCACTGAGTCAAAGTACTAGCCCACAAACGTTTCCGCTTTTAATTCGCGCTACCAGCGAACTTTTTGCAAGCTCATCGCGAAGGCTGCTGTTAACGGAAAGGACAGCTTTCATCTACAACTGAACTGTCGTTAATTGTTTCCCCACGAAAGATATCTGAGAAATATTTTGAAATAATGGCTACTGAGCGTGCCTGCCATGCCAGGCAAGACAGCAGAATTCCTCTGACAGTTGGTAAAAGCGCTTGGTCTGTGGGGAGCGGCCACACCGAAGGGCAGCACTCGTTCTTGCACCTATACATTAGGAATATTAGCCAAGACACATCACAGGTTAAGGATTTTTTGGTCCGAGTCGCCGTACGAGGCCCCCTCCCATCTGAAGTGCGGATCGGTACGATCCGCGCCCGACCCTTCTAAGGGTGGTTGTTTTTTTTTTGCCTTTTATTGCGTTTTCTTTCCAATACCAACGTGGGAAAAAACAAGTGTGTGCAACTGAAAAATCCCCCTGGCTTCTGAGCACCTTCCAGCACTGAACATCACCCAGCCGAAGAATTTCTGTACTAGTTAATTCCCAAACATTCTGTGGGTGCATAAAACAGAATCCCAGCAAAATTGCTGGCTCCATTTACAGGAATTCAGTTTAGATGAGCGCCGCGTGTTCTGATACATTGTGTACTTCATAGAAAACAACATATAGGCCGTCGACCTTAAACAGGTGGAAAGTCCAGATATTATAAAGCGATTTTTTTTTTCACTATTTCCTACCACTGCGTGTTAATTGAGCGAGTTAGGGATCTTTACCCTCTTCGGAAGCTCCTGGGAAAGGCAACCGCTGTGTTGATCTATACCGCACAGGATGCTGTGTTGCAACGTACAGACTGTTGTGTTCAAATTCGCGCGCGCGGGAACAACTGGCCATCGCCATGTGAACACCAATACGCGCGTCGGCCTGCGGCACGCCGAGCGGTCCCGGCTTCGCACATCTTTTTTAGACCCCCTTAAGTAAACCAACTTGTCTTTGAAGGGTTATAACTTTCTTTAATGCAGACCGTTAGGAAAGACGAAAACGCAGTCGTGTAAAAAAGATTTGGGCTTCCCGAAAAGTACTGAAATGTTTATAAGGTTGCCAAGTTCAGAGAGAAATTCAGCGTTGGGGATGGGTTGGGGATTTTCGAAATTGGATGCAAAAAGACCAAGACTGTCCTGGTTTGAACGAATATAATCTTCTAAAAACTTAATTGTTTGCAAATCAGACCCAGCGTCGAATACTAGAGGGATCCTTCTTCCCAATAACCACTTCACTTGTTTCTGAAGTTTTCGGGATTCATGAGAAAAACGCGTTGGGGATTTTCTGAGGAACACTCCGAGCAGCGCGAAAACGCCGTTTTCTGTGTACCGTTTCAAGTGGGCGTATTCGGATATCCAGAAATGCATCTAAAATGCATCCCTTCGTGGAATAGGAACAAACAGTAGTTAGTTTAGCGCCCATTAGCTTCATTTCTGGATGCGCCATGCTTAGGCTCCCACGCAGAGGTAGTGGGATGGTGCAAGTTCTACGCAATGCCTGTCTACGCGAGCAGATGTGTTTGTAGGATTTGGGGAGGTCCATGGCCAACCTACGCACTTGCTTACAGTCTTGTCGGTTGCGGATGATGGGGCGTGTCCGCCTCATCATCCGCAACGGTAACCGCACGCCGTCAGATCCGTGCTCCACCACCTGCTAAGTCCGATAAAGGAGACCAACTGCTGGAAAACGTCTGATACGAACGATATGGTAGTCTTGTCGTTTGTCGAAAGAAAAAAAAACAGGTTGGCGCCGTACCAAGCGCGGTCGCTCGGACACGCCCCATCATCCGCAGCGAACCAGGGTATGAGTTGTACTGTTAGTCATCTATGTACTTACGAAATGATGCCAACTTATTGATGTTTCCAAGTAATTTGGATTCGTTCAGTTAATGAAAGTTTTGTGCAGAGTTTGTGATAGGCGAAGG